TTTTCAGATATTTCTTGATTTATGTATCTGATGCAGTTATCATTGTTGTTTGGCAGGCCCGGGCTGGACTCGTGCCCGCCAGCTCTGGTGTATGTGGCCGGCACCTTGGCCGCTTGAGCTACAGGCTCTGAGCCCGCCTAGATATTTTTAAAGACCGGGGCCTAGCTTTTGCTCAGATTGGTCTCGAACTGGTGAGCTGATGCAATCCACCCTACTGAGTCTCCCAGAGTGCTAAGATTACAGGTATGAGCCACTGTGCCCTGCCAAGGTAATATTTTAAGTATTCAGAATAGAGGGTGGCGCCTGTGGCTCAGTGAGTAGGGTGCCAGCCTCATGTACTGAGGGTAGTGGGTTCAAACCCGGCCCTGGCCAAACTGCAACAAAAAATAGCCGGGTGTTGTGGCAGGCGCCTGTAGTTTCAGCTACTCTGGAGGCAGGCAAGAGAATCGCCTAAGCCCAAGAGCTGGAGGTTGCTGTGAGCTGTGACGCCACAGTACTCTACTGAGGGCGACAAAGTGAGACTATGTCTCTAAAAAAAAAAAAAAGAAAAAGAAAGAAAGACAAACCCGGCGTCGCAGCGGGAGTCTGTAGTCCCAGCTACTCGGGAGGCTGCGGCAGGAGGATCACTTGAGCCCAGGATTTGGTGGCTACAGTGATCTACGATGACGCCACAGCACTCTAGCCGGACAAAACGAGCCTCCGTCTCAAAAAAAAGAGAAAAAATTCAAATCGGTCCGGGCCGGCTTCGGCCAGGGCCGCGGCCCGGGTGGGGGGTCTGAGCACTCCCAGCCCTCCCTCCTGACCCGGTGTACCTGTGGCTCCGAAAACCACCACCAGCTTCCTGTCCGCCACGGTCGGGGCAGCGACGTCCATTCGCGAGCTCAGGGTCCCGAGACCCCCGGACCTGCCCGGGGCCGAAATTCTTCCCTTCCCGCACCGCTCGGCCAGACCTCCTCACCCCTGGGCCCAGTCGCGGCGCGGCGAGTCTGCGGCCGAACCCACTGCGCAGAGTGCAGGGAAGCCCTGCGCGCCGCGCCGGCCACAGCCCCAGCCCCAGCCCCACGTGGGCAAAGCCCCCTAGCCAGCCGCACCACCGCGAAACACTCCGGCTGCCGCGGCCCAGACAGCAAACTGCAGATCCGGCCCCGCCTCCCACCCCGCCGGCTCCCGGGGAACCCCGCTTCCGGCCCGCGGGGGTGGGGCCTGCAAAGTGAACAACCAGCGGCGGAGAAGGGCCTCTTTATCTTGCTTTAATATTGGGTGTCACTTAAAGATGACTCAGTGTCCCTGCGCCTTGCTCTCTGAGGCAGAGTTCTTCCATGCCTCTCTTGAAGTTGCTGGTGCTCGCCTGGGTTTGAATTCTTTTTATTTTTTATTTTTTGAGACAGAGCCACACTCAGTCGCCCTCAGTAGAGTGCCGCGGCGTCACAGCAACCTCAAACTCTTGGGCTCAAGTGATTCTCTTGCCTCAGGTTCTTTAATAGCCAGGACTACAGGCGCCCGCCACAATACTCGGTTAGTTTTACAGACGGGGTTTCGCTCTTGATGGAGCTGGTCTCCAGCTCCTGTACTCAAGCAATCCATCAGCCTCGGCTTCCCACAGCGCCCGATCCGGGTTTAAAATGATTTTTAGGCTCGGCGCCTATAGCTCAACCGGCTAAGGCGCCAGCCACGTACACCTAAGGTGGCGGGTTCGAAT